ACTAAGAAAATTCTCTACTCCCACAATTGCTAAATTCTATTTATCTACTTTTCCAGTACCCCAGTGGTTAGTTAGCTATGTGGAAAATATTTTACATTTCCTTCTTAACTCTTTGTTTTCCCCACTTAACTCACGAAGAATTTGAAAATTATTTTAGTAGAACTGCAAGGAGAGATTTGATTAACACTGAGTTAATGTACATTTAAGATAAGTTTAGAAGTCAATTTTTTAGGAAGAGTTGAGGTATAGTAGGGCACTGTGGTGGCTATCAAAACCGGTTTCGATTCATAATAACATTATGTGGCAACATCATCTGATAGCATTTTCTAGGTCTATCTTTGAAGGTCTAGTTGTGTGGCAAGTAGTATGTTGTGCTGCTAAGCAGAACATGGCGGGTTTTCGATGATTCAAGTCTCCACTATGGGAAACCCAAAGGAGGTTCACTCTGAGTTGGAACAGACTGAGCAGCAATGAGTGAGTTAATCTTTACAAGTGCAAATTGCTAGGTGTTCTCTCATAGAATAGCTGGTGGACTTCGACAGCAGACCTTTAAGTTAGCTGACAAGAGCTTAGCCATTGTGCTAAGAGAGGATTCACTGTACAGGAGGCTTTTTCTAATGATAACTCAACTTTGGAAAAAAAAAAAAAAGAATTGTCTATTTTTCTCCTGAGGAGCTGGTGATGGATTCAAATTGCCTACCACTGGGTTGGTAGCCTCACTCCCTACTCATGAGGCCACCAGATTCCGCCAATAACTAGCAGTTAATTAAGCTCTGACTCTTGGTTTCTTTATCCATAAAATATGAGAATAGTTTTTAAAAATCTCACATCCATTCCAACTCCCAAATTCTGATTTGCAGTTTTAACCACAGCATACCTGAAATAAAGTTACTAAGGGTTTTAAGAAGTTCTGAGTAATTTTAAAATTCCTTTTCATTAGAAAGCTAAATAGAAAGACTAAGTGATGATTATTGTTTTTAAATTAATGACTAAAGAGACTTTTGAAAGACAGTGAGAAAACACTTTTTAGGGAGAGAAAAATAATGGAACAAAAGAAAAGGGAAATATTTTAAAAGTTAATAATCTGAAAATCTGCATGAGAGAAAAAGCTACCTATAAAAATTTTACTTATTAGAAAAAGTTTATATCCATCAAATTTTTCTGTTACTAAAAGCTTTCAGGATCAAACTGATCACTACCTGCACAAGTTGGGAAATTGGGGACTAACCTGTGTAGTTATTAGCATAAGGAGCTTGAACAAAGCATCGTCAAGCACAAAAGTAGAATGTATCACAAAAGAAATGATGTTTAGATATCTGAGAAAACATCATTAACATCGTTGTAAGACATGAGTATATAATCATCTCCAAGTAATTTATAATGTATTTGTGAATTTATTCCAAGGAATGAGTGTTGAAGAATCAGTTACCAACTTTTACACATTTGCTAATATTGCCTTAATTTCCTGATGGGAAACAAAATTCCATCTCTTAAATAAATGCACTTAAATGAATGTCTATTTATTTTAATTAATCAGTCAAAAATTATTCCCTATTAAGCAATTTTACTAGGATTCTGTATAATGCCCAGCAAGGGTTCCACTGTAGCTTTCAGATGATTGTCTAAGAGGGTTCCCTAGTATTTTGCATAAACTCAGAAATAATCCTGAGTTTTCTTGGCCACAGTAAGTTACATGGTGGCAAAATTCCAACACAGTTGTTTGTGCTGGTTCTGTTTGTGTTGTTCAAGTCTACAATAGCAGACATATTAAAGATCACAAATTATCAGTAACTTTAACCTCTCTCTCTCATTTCTATCCAGTAGAAATCAACTCCTAGCTGACTCCCAGCAGGTTTTCAGAGACTGTAAATACTGTAAAAGGAAACTGTCTAACTCAACCCCAATTATCCACTGGTGGATTCAAACCAGTAAAATGGTATCTCCTTTGGGTTAGCAATGCAATTCCCTGTGGTCTATGCCACCAGAGCTCTTCTAGCTTTAACCTAATGAACCTATTTTTTAAAGAAATTAAAACTGATTTTTAATTCTTCAGGCACTGCAACCAAGTTACTATTTTCATACAATCATGGAAATTTAAAATGCAAAGTTAATTGAAAGTAAAAAGGTGAAAAGCAAGTGTTACACCTGTAATAGCGCACGACATAATCACGTTTCACTTAACTTTTAAGTCAGAAAATAATTTAAGAATTTTAGACGTGACATGCCAGATATTTTAGGCATAGATAAGACTCATATAATAGAGTCTGTACCAATTACAAACTTAAAAGATATCGTTCATGAGGAAATAAGATCATGCGGAAATATTGGCAATAAATAATGTTTCCCTTAGCTTAAGAAGGTGAAGCTGAATATAAATTCCATCACTATTTTATATTGTACTGAACTTCCTAAAGCACTATTTTGCCAAGTTTTCTATGGTATCCCAAACCAAAAATAACCTGAAAGGAACAAAGAACAAATTTTACATAGTGTGACTCTATTAAAAACAAATAATAAAAATTTAACATGATAGGTATATACAGGAAATCTGTCTTATTCACTCTACTTGATCCTTTTTTCATACAAGAGCATTTTCTATTTATAAACATGGAGAGTTAAGGAAAAAAACATACAACTTTTAGCTTATTCCTTATAATTTTGCATAACCTACTCTCTTTGTTTAAAAATGTACTATTCAGTTTGGAGTTACTATTAATCAACACACAAATATTAAAAAATATCTCCAAATGTATATATTGTCATTGAATGACAGCTGAACAACTAAAATTATGAAATTATATTTAGACACTCTCAAATAAATTTAAACTACAATAGGACATGGAGCTGTTAAAACGTCCCCTATAAATTAATTAAATAAGTATTTTTATCCAATATAATGGAATAAAATAAAAACTATTGCTTTTTTTATTTTGGAGTACACTATAACTATAATAAATAAAGAACTTCATTCTTATATATGTAGAAACAAAGAAATTAAGGTAACAAGCAGGATAACTCCTTATAAGTATTTTTTTAAACTGATGATATAAACTCATTTAGATTGTAATTTCAAAGAAATTTTCCAAATGTACTACAAACTGAAAGTGATTTTCAGACTTCTGAAATCTACTCTCACATAGAAATCAAGACATCCTACATTACATTCAATTTAATCTTCAATTTACTTTCTTATTGCACACCACCCCACACCCTTCTGATTCTTAAATTGGACTTAAAATCCCCGAAGGTAAGATCTATCTATCTATCTATCTATCTATCTATCTATCTATCTATCTATCTATCTATCTAACTATCTATTTTTTATCTTCCTGTTGCACACAGCATGGTGTCAAGCAAGATGCAAGGCCATCCATCCTTTTATAAGTGAATAAATGAATGAATGAGAGTGAAAGTACACATAAATTTAATAGCTGTTTGAGTTTTTTGCCTTCTACAAGTCAACTGAATTGCATAAATATGGACCTCATAACATATTTCTATAGTAAAACTGCTAAACTGTGTTCAGCATGAAAATACTTGTGTGTAGCCTTTAGAGAACTATTTCCCAAGTTATACTTCGTAGAGCATTAAACTGTAGTATAATAAAAATTTCTTCCCTTTCCTTTACAAAATGTTCTCTGGTCAAATGGTTTAGGAAATTCAGTTAAAAATAATTTTAGCTAGCACTTCTTTATGTCTAGATTCCTAGATAATACACTAATGTAGCACTCTCTGGGAAGTTATTGAACACCTTTGGTCATTCTAGCAATAGCTATTCTAAGAGATAGTGTGACAGAAATAATGTTTTAGAATCATAAAAAGGAGAATATGACATTTCCCTCACCAAAACAGTGTTATAGATTTGAAGCAAATGTTTACTATTCTACATGTCCAGAATTCACAGTTTTTGTCTCCATAGGGAGTAGAATGAAGACAAAGTTATCATGAAACTTTTGTTGTACTTCATTTTAGGAATGAAGTGGAATGTTTAGGTACAGTTGCTGATAGCCTTTTAGGTTTTAATTACCACTTGAAATGTAAGAGTTGTCTGCATTTTTCTCAAAATATCTTCTAGATTCCTCTCTTTCTTTTTAAATATGTATACACAGAGAGAGAAAAATTAGTAAACATGATGAATTTTTAACTTTGTGAAGCTGTGAAAATGTTCATAAAACATTCAAACTCATCTAATTAATAGGGTAACTGATATTTCTATGAGAACAATTTGTCAGTTGACACTGTCTTAAGATTCTATCCAGTATGACTTTGCAAAATAAGCCAATTTTCTTTCTTAATGCCTAATGTACAAATATTATAATAAAAGATGCTGGGTACTGCATGAGCAAAACACTTGGGGAATGTAAGCTAAAGCAGGAAACTAGTTAGCACTATACTATTATGAGATTTCTACCTAGTACCACCTTATCTACTAGCTGTGTGATTTGAGGATATATTTCAAGGTGTCAAGATGTCCTGGTCTCATTTGTAAATGAGAAAAAGCAACAATTAAATGGCTTTCAAACATTTGCCTAAGGAACTTCTACAATAGGGAATTATAAAGGTCAACATGGGTACAAGTGGGGAATTGTATCCTATCACATCATCCAACTAAGCAGCTCCACATTCACATGTGTAATACACTAAAATTCACAGTAATATTTATTTAAAAAAATATCCTGCAAGATTCATAAAATAGAAAAAAACACAGATTGCATGGTCTAAAAGTTCTGTTTACATAACACACTGTGGTTCACAGTTTCAATGCATATGTCTTCATCTCAAAAATTTCTTTTTAAAAAAATTTCTTTTTACATTTTTTTCTATTCATTCATATGCTCTTGGTTCAAGTAAAAGAAAGACCTTTATGACTCTTGTTATTTTTCATGTAGCTTATTTTACCTTTTTTCCCCTACCATGTATCTTTCTTAACAAAAGAAAAATAGTTGATGTGTCTATTTCAAAAGTAAAATTAAAGACAACATGGAGGCTAGGTGACATCAGCCCATGTTTAGCTTTAGAACAATCTTTTCCTGTTGCCTTTGAGCACTTAAATACTGTACTGCATTATCTGTGAGGTAGAACCAAAATAAAATAAAACAAAAAGGCAGAACATTCACATAAGGAGGAAAAATGAGAACAAAAGCTGTGAGAGATTCCTTTTAAACACAATCATCTTTAGGCTTTGCAGTCTTCTTTGACACAAAGTTGAGAAATAGTTTTCTTAATACGGAGGGCAGTTAGGCGAGCTGCCCCATTGGCATACCAACATTCACGCATTATTCTCCCCATGACTCGGAGTGCCTTTAAGAGAGAGAAAAAATATAAACGATTTTAGCCACTCACTGGAAACAGAATATGGCTATTTAAAAAATATGATAAAATAAGAGACAAAGGAGAATTAAAAGTCTAGCACATATGCAATGATTCTTTCAAAAAGGGTAATGGAAACACTGGCAGCTGAAAGAGATAATTAATTGCTTTAAAGGTTTTGGAACTGAAAAAAAAAATCACAAATCTTCAGAATTAAAGAGTCCAAAACTCCAAGATAAATCAAGAGGTATCTAAACCAAACAAAACATGGAGGATACCAATGGCAGAATAAAAAAACAATGAGAAATATGTAGAAATTTTTAAAAGCTGCCAAAAAAAAGGTAACTAAACAGAAACAAAATTTGATATCAACTGACTTCTCAACAATGGAACCCAGAAGCCAGTGGAACAATAATTTTAAAGTGTTTAATGAATTACCAAAATTTGTACATACATCCAGAGGAACTTTTTTAAAACTTTGGAGAGAAAATAATGCCATCTTTGTTGTTGCTGATTGTCTTTAGGTAAAGCACAACTCACAGCAACCTTATGAATAAAAGGTCTGAAAGCCCCTCTACAATATCAACATTTACTAAAGTTCATAGAGTTTCTGGAGGCATATCTTTAGACATTCAAAATGTAAAAGTACTTATAACTGTTAGACTCTCATTTTAAATAGAACAAAACACTTCTAAAAGATACACACTAGGAAGTCTGAAACTGATATAAGAACAAAGTTCTGAGAGACAAGAAGAATGCTGAACAAACAAAACAATAAACACAGGAAAATCTTAAACAATGATAGTATAAAATAATACCAATTATCTAGCATGAAAAAATAAAACACAACAAAATCTTAAACATATATAGATCAGACAGCATACATTAGTAGTGACAAAACAGATTGTAAATTATAACTCTGTACTGTGTCTAGTCTTGGAATATTTCTAGCTTATCAGTGAAAAATTTAGAAATGCAACTTATCACACTGATTAGAGTAAAAACATATCATCATCCCTTCATAGATGTGGAAAAATTTTTTATTAAACCAAACCCAGTTTTTATTTAATCCACTTAAAAGTTTTTAAATGAAGGAAAATATAACTATAGCAGATATCATCCTTAAATGTAGAAAATAAAAATATTTAAAAGCCAGAGAAAGATGCCACTCATCATTTTCTGGATACAACATTGGAGGCCCTATACACTACAAGGGTCGGGGAGAAGAATGGGTAATCTTCTCCTGCAGGATTAACTGCCTCTGAAAACCTAACCGATGACCAGCTATGGGTTAGATCCAACTCAACAATACGTAACAACTACAACAGTACACTACAAGGGAACTCTCTGGTGGCTTAGGGTATAATGAATCGCACTGCCAACCGACAGGCAGGCTACGTGTAGCCACCAGCTGCTCTTCAGGACAAAGATGGTCAATCTCTGTTTGTCTAATTTACAGCCTCTGAAAATCTGCTGGAGAGTGAGCTATGAGTCACTTCCAACTCAATGGCACAAAACAACAACGCATAACAACAACAATAAAAAAAAAGAGGCATGAGGTCTGATCCCAGAGATTTCATGCATTGAAGCTACGATTGTCGATATGGACGCTTGTTTGGAGGCAGGGGCTCATAGGTTTATATTCTAAGGAAACTTCTCCACACATATTTATAGCAGCATATTTAAATAAGAAACACTGAAAACTACACACATGACAATAAGGATTAGAGCGGATAAAGAACTCTTTGACCATTGTGCCACCAGAGTCCCTTAAGATCTTTACTCAGTTATATAGAAAAGTCAACACTGAAATCTTACCTGAAATAGAAAGAGTTGCATTAAACATGGAGTAGTATGAGTCCCTAGCCCCCCAAAACACCATATAAAATAATTTTTGTGCAGAATACAACATCAGAGAAGTGACTTAAAGAGACCAACAACATTACAATTACATATGACAGAAAGACTACAGGCAATAATTGAGATGAAGATATAAAAGTATCAGAATAATTCAAGAACTAGTTATATGCTTTCTAGTCTTCTATCATTCATTCTTTATGCTTTCTAGAGCTGAAAAAGAATTTATCTACATACAAAGCACAAAAAATATTTCATTAACTATTTAATGTATGAGTGGTTCAAATGGTTAACGCTCTCAAACTAATAACCAAAGTTTGCAGCTCAAATTCTCAGATGAAATTCCTGTCACTCTTCTGTAAAATTGGCAATTGAAAATTCTATGCAGCACAGCTCTCTTCTAAAAACAGAAGGCATTGCCATGAGTTGGAAGTTATGCAGGAGGTGTACAGGACTTTTGTTCATAGGGTCGCTATGAGTCACCTGCGACTCAACAGCACTTAACACCACCACCACCACCACCAACAGCATAGAAAGAGAGAGCAGTGGGCCTAGCGGATGGAAAGCCATGCTCCCAAGCCAAAGGTGGGTGACTCTACTCCATGGCCCTCAGGCCTGCCTTTAATTGTTTTTGGTGAAACATTCTTCTAGGTCATGTAACCCTGGTATGTCGACTTGCTGTACAGAAGTAACTCGTGGTTGCTGTGAAGCTGAACACTTTGATACTGATGAGTCAAATGCAAGAAAGGTTACCCATGGTGGAGAGTGTTTGGTGAAGCTCCCAGATTAAAACAAGCTTGGAAGCAGGAATGGCATCCACTTCCATAATAACTTGCCTCTGGAAACCCTATGAACCTGGAGAGAGGACAAAAGTTACACAGGAGGTGTCCATGACTTTCATTCATAGGGTCGCTATAAGTTGCCTGCACCTCAAAAGCACTTAACAATAACAACATTACAGTTACTGTGTTGGGCTGTGTAGAGAGCTCTGATGGTCTTGTAAGTTAGACAGTGAACTGTCAGTCCTAAATCAGGAGGTTCAAATCCACCAGCTGCTCTGTAGGAGAAAGATGGGCAATCTCTTGCTAGGAAATTTGCAATGATGTGAAAACTAGATGGAACATCAGCTATGAGTTGATTCTGACTCAATGGTACATAACAATATGTTGGACTGCTGTTGATGGGGCAATAAACAACTAGGGATTCTTCTGCTCTAAGGGTGTTTTTCCAATGCAGGAGAAGAACTTAAACTTCAGCAGTTTAAAGATTGTTGTTGTTGTTGTCCCCCCACCATCCAAACAGGTAGCCTGTCCCAGGAGTACGTGTGTGGAACAAGGTGGCCCTGCATTTGAGAGATTAGAAATCATATTATGAATATGCCACTCTTCTCTTGTTAGGTGCTAAGGAATCTATTTTGACTCATAGCAACCCTATGGGATAAAACTTCCCCATATAGTTTTTTTGATGGAAATCTTTACAGAAACAAACTACCAGGTCTTTTTGTCATGGAGCCAACCAGGAACGTCCAAGTCATCAATTTTTTGGTTAGAAGCCAGGCACGTAATGGTTAGATCTTAAGGTATCTATGTACTGCATAGCTACAATTGCAAAAAGTTGTATGGCACAGACAGTGAGAGCTTGCTTTGTATACCTGGACTCCCAAACCCCAGTTACTTCAACATTAGATACAACCATATGAATGCTTCTGGCCTTTGTGCCACCTGCAGAAGGGATATGTATCACTTGCTATCAAAACTTAGATGAGTCAGTGTGCATCCCTCCAGCTCTTATCAGCTTACATATACACCACAAGATCAAAACTGACCCAACTACTGAGTCTCCACAGAGAAGACAGATAACCTGAAGAGTTGTCACCCTACATGGGCCAATGTATAGAGAAAATTAGCTATCATGAAAGGTACTGTTTTTCTTAGTTCCAGTTCTGTATTCTCTCTGTCACTGTAGAGAAATCCAATTGAGTTTTGTATGTTGATCATGTATCCTGTCACTTTGCGGATTTGGTCGAGTATGTCCAGTAGTTTCCCCGCTGAATCTTTAGGGTGTTCTAGTGTACTATCATATCATCTACATATACAGATAGTTTTACCTCCTCTTTGCCAATTTGGATACCTCTTATTTCTTTCTCTTGTCTTATTGCTGTCACTAAAGCTTCCAATACAATATTGAATCGTAGAGGTGATAGTGGGCATCCTTGCCTAGTTCCTGTTCTCAAAGGGAATGCTTTTAATCCCTGTCCATTAAGAATGATAATTGGCTTTTAGGTTTGCATATATACTTTTTACTTTGTTGAGTATATTAATCAGTAAAGGGTATTGGATTTTGTCAAAGGACTTTTCCACATCAATTGATAGAATCGTGTGGTTCTTATTCTTTGCTTTGTTACTAGGATATTATTGAACTATATTTAGTTAGATATTACTGAAATATACTGAACCATCCTTGCATACCTGTTATGAATCCCACTTGGTCATGGTGAATTATTATTTATTTAATATTTTTAATGTAAATATTCTTTAAAAAATGCTAGCTTATTTGCAAAATTTGAATAGATTGATTTTGAGAACAGATTTTTCCAATTTGCTTCACCCTCGCCTCTGAAATTGTATAACCTCATGATTAATCTTCCCCTCCCCATCACTCTGCTTCCAACCCCCCCCAACCTTTGATCCTTCTACTCATTCTACAATAATGTTTTATACAACATTTGTCCTTGTGGGACTGAGTTAGTTCACTCAGCATAATGCTCTCCAGTTCCTCCCAAGTTAGGTAATCATTTGCAAAATTATTGCTCTCACATGCTGCATAGTATTCCATTGTGTAAATGTATCCTGATTTCTCAATCCATTCATTTATGGTTGACCATTTGGGCTATTTCCATATTCTTGTGATAGTGAATAATGCTGCTATCAACAATGGTGTACAAATCTCTGTTTGTGCCTCAGTAGGTGCGTCTGATACAGGCTATGGTCTTCGCAATCACTTGTCATGCATCAGAGAGTTGGACAATGACCAAGGAGGATAGAAGGAGAATTGATACCTTTGAGCTGTGGTGCTGGAGAAGAGTATTGAGAATACCATGGACTGCTAGGAAAACAAACAGATTTGTCCTGGAA